CATAACCCTTAATTCCCCAACCAATCAAGGATCTATTTCACTCTCAGCCTTAAGTAATTACAAGGTCTCTGCCCCAACAGTGCTCTTTGGCAAGGTGTTTCAAAGACTCATAACCCTCTGATAGAAGAAATTCTTCCTCATCTCAGCCTTAAATTCTGAGAATATGCCATCTGGTCCTAGACTCTCCCATGAAGGGAAACATCCTGTCAATACTTACCCTGTCCAGTCCCTTCAGAATCATGGTCAATACAGTGTGCAGCTGGAGGAGCACAGCAGGTCAGGTATTATCAGAGGAGCAGGAAAGTTGATGTTTCGGGTTTACACCCTTCTTCGGGACCCCTTTAGAATCCTCTAAGTCCCAATGAGTCACCACTCATTCGTCTAAATTGTATTGGCACTGATTGAGGAGGAGATGGAACCAGTCCAGGCTGGATGAGTGCAACTGAGCTGGACTGGAACTGATGGCCCCAGGGATGTCTTTAAGTGTGTAGGTGGGGAAGGTTTAAAGTGAATTGGCAGGGGGATGGAAATCTTTACTGGGAGATGGATAATACAGAAATATGGACTAAAACAAAAGACAAATGGGATATAAGAAAGGCAAGCAGGAGCCACAGTAAATGGAAGTAAGAATGCTAAAAAGACAAGCATTAAGGCCTTGTGGCTGAATTAGTCATGCAAATAGATCTTACAGGTATGATATAGTGGGGATTACAGAAATGTGGCTGCAGAGTGACCAGGAATAGGAACCGAATATTCAGTTGTAGAAAACACAGACAAAATAGAAATTCAAGTGGCACGCACTGACTCATGGGACCACAGGAATCAGTGCTTGGACCCCAGCTATTCACAATATGTAATAATGATTTAGATGAGGAAACTACATGTCATATCTCCAAGTTTGCAGAAGACACAAAGCTGGGTGGGATGGTGAGTTGTGAGGAGGATGCAGAGATGATTCAGTGTGAGTTGGACAAGTTAAGTAAATGGGCAAATAAAGAGCAGATGCAGTACATTATGGATAGAAGTGAGGTTATCCACTTTGGTTGTAAAAACAGGCAGGCAGATCATGATCTGAATGCTGATAGATTGGGAAAGGGGGATGTGTAAAGAGATCCAGGTGCCCTTGTACATCAGTTGCTGATAGTAAGCATGCAGGTGCAGCACATGGTGAAGAAGGCAAAGGGGACGTTAGCCTTCATAGTGAGACAATTTGAATACAGGAGCAGGGATGTCTTGCTGCAATTGTACAGGACCTTGTTAAGTATTGTGTGAAGTTTTAGTCTCCTCATCTGAGGAAGAATGTTCTGGCTACAGAACGAGTACAATGAAGGTTTACCAAATTGATCCCTGGAATGGCAAGCCTGACATAAGAGAAGAGACTGTTTTAATGATTTGCTCTAAATCTATTTTCCCATTCTTTCAGTTGACAATTCTGAGTTGATGACCCCAATTCACTATCTTTCCACCCATAGGAAACTGCTTTTCCCAATTGCTTTTTCAAAATGACTGTTAAACCTCCTCTTGCTTTTCTCTACTCTAATAGAATTGGTCTATCCCTGATTTGTCTCATGACTCCAGATTTCAATCTAATTGAAACAGCACACTCTATGCCTTTACTGATTTTTTTCTACAACATTCATTACTGCACTGATCAGTCTATTAACTAATGCCTTTGCAACTTTTGGAATATTTCTTTCCTTTGCTCCTTCTTGATAAACTCAAAATGTTATTGGCTGTTTTTTTTTTAAATGGCTTTAGTTATTTCTCAAGTGAAATTAAACATTTGAACATATAGCTTTGCCCTTCATTCACAAAGAAACTAGAAAATACGAGCAAGAGTAGGCCATTCAGCCCTTCAAGCCAGCTCTGCCAGTCAACATGATCATGGCCAATTCTCTATTTGAACAATACAGACCCATCCTCTCCCATATCCTTTGATGCATTTAGTGCCTAGAAACCTATCTCATTCTGAATCATGCTGGAACCAGAGTCCTGGTGAATCATTTAACTAGGGATGTGGATCGGGATTTAAAGTAAATAGTGGGGGTGTCTAGTGGGTTTAGTTGAATGGAAACTTATAGAAAAAATTAAAGATGAAGAAGGCTAAGCACAGGTTATTGAAGTTTCCAGAGCAAGTAAAAGAACAGAGAGTACGCAAAAGGTCAGGGACCTAACTTCAGGAACAGCAGGTAGGGGGACAACAATGACAAGGGGCCAGTCAACGCAGGACTCAGGGTGTTGTACTTAAATGCATGCAGTATACGAAACAAGGTAAATGAGTTTGTAGCACAGAATGAAATTGGCAGATATGAGGTAGTAGGTATCACAGAGACAAGGCTGCAAGGGGATCAGAACTGCAAATTAAATATCCAAGGATATGCATGCTATTGAAAGGAGCAGCTTGTGATTGAGTCCACAAAGGAACAGGCAATTCTAGACTTGGTGTTTTGTAATGAGGCAGACTTAATTGGGAGTTTAAGGTGAAGGAACCCCTAGGAGGCCGTAACCATTATATGGTAGGATTCACCCTGCCGTTTGAGGGGGAGAAGTTGGAATCAGATGTAATGATTTTACAATTGAGTAAACATAGTTACCAAGGCATGAGGGAGGAGCTGGCCAGAGTTCATTTGAAGTGAAGCCTAGCCGGGAAGACGGTAAAGCAACAATGGCGGGAGTTTCTGAGGATAATTCGGGAGGCACAGCAGATTTCACTCCAAGGAAGAAGAAACATACTAATGGGAAGGCAAGACAACCATGGCTGACATGAGGTTTGGAACAGCATAAAAGTAAAGGAAAAAGCATATGATGTCGTGAAGATTAAAGGATCAGACCAGATACACCCAGAGTTCTAAAGGAGAAAGCTGAGGAGAATGTGGAGGCATTACCGGTGATTTCTCAGGAATGATGGGAGTCAGGGAGTATCCCAGATGACTGGAAAATGGCTGATGTAATACCCTTGTTTAAGAAGAGAGGGAGGTAGAAGACAGGAAACTATAAGCCAGTTACCCTGACCCAAGTTGTTGGTAAGATTTTAGAATTCATTATTAAGGGCAATAGCAGAGTGCTTGGAAATGCTTGGTAAACTAGGGTAGAGTCAGCACAACTTCATGAAGGGGAGATCATGCGTGACAAACCTGTTAGGATTATTTGAGAGGGAATGAGCAAGTTAGACAAAGGACAGCCTGTGCACTGTGCCACAAGATAAGAGCCTATGGTGCTGGGGCAAGGTAATGGCATGGGTAGAGGGTTATCTGACTGGCAGAAAGCAAAACGTTAGGATAAAGGGATATTTTTCAGGATGACAGCTGGTGGACTAGTGGAGTTTGCAGGGGTCAGTGTTGGGACCACAACTATTCACTTTATACTTTGACGTTCTGGATGAAGGAACTGAGGGCATTGTTGTTAAGTTTACAGTTGACACAAAGGTAGATGGAGGGTCAGGTAGTGTTGAGGAAATGAGGAGGCTGCAAAAGGATTTGGATTGACTAGGTCAATGGGCAAAGAAGTGGCAGATAGAATACAAAATGGACAAATGCAAGGTTATGCACTTCGGTAGGAAGAAGAAGCATTGACTATTTTCTAAATGGGGAAAGGCCTCACAAATCTAAAGCGCAAAGGGACTTGGAAGTCCTCGTTCAAGATTCTCTTAAGGTTCAAAGGCAGGTTCACTTGGCAGTTATGAAGGGAAATGCAATATTAGTATTCATTTCAAGAGGACTAGAGTATGACAGCAGAAATGTACTGTTGAGGATGCATAAGGCTCTGGTCAGATTGCATTTGGAAATTTTTTGAGCAGTTTTGGCCCTGTATCTAAGGAAGGATATGCTGCTGTTGGAAGGAGTCCAGAGAAGGTTTACAAGAATGATCCCAGGGATGAAGAGCTTGTCATATGAGGATTGATTGAGGAGTCTGGGACTGTAGAACGTAGAACAATGAAAGTGGTATCTGATTGGAATTTACAGAATACTGAGTGGTCTGGATAGATAAAACATGGACAAAATGGTTCCATTAAGAAGAGAGACTATGATCCGAAAGCAAGCCTCAAAATGAAGGGATGACCCATTAGAACTGAGATGAGGAGGGATTTCTTCAGTCAGTGGGCTTGGGGGGTGGGGGGTGGGGTAGTATTCATCTGTGGAACTCATTGCAGCACAAGACTGTGGAGGCCAAGTCATTGAATGTATTTAAGACAGAGATAGATAGGTTCTTGGTTAGTAGTGGGATATAGGGTTACGGGAGAAGGCAGGAGAGTGGAGTTGAGAAACATATCAGACCTGATGGAATGGTGGTGCAGACACAATGGGCTGAATGGCCTAATTCTGCTCCTAACAGGAATTGCTGGCAAAACTCAGCAGGTCTGGTAGCATCTGGAGAGAAAGCAGAATGAACATTTCAAGTCCGGCCACACTTCATCAGAATATCTTTTCTTTGGAAAGGAGACCAAAACCGCACACAATTTTCCCAATGTGGTCTCACCAAGGTCCTGTACAGTCATAGCAACACACTGTTGCTCCTGTACACAAACCCTCTTTGCAGTTAAGATCAACATGCCATTTGACTTCTTTCAGTACATCCTTCAGCATGCTTTCATTGAGATCAAAGTATAACGTTTTAATCTCCATAACGTACCACCATAATTATTCAAATCAAATTGTATCTAACCGGTTTTTGCTCATTTTGTTAATCTGCTTATGTTTTCCTCTCTTTATACAATATGTCTTGTATATAATACATTCATGTCAACCTCCAACTTTGCCATTGTGACTCATATCTTTATGCCTCATCCGTAATACGCAGAAATGAGTGGACCTGCATTGTCAAGTAATTAAAGAAAGTCACAGGACACACCTACCATTTGTATTTGACTAACACCCATTAGTTCAATTGCACTGCCATGACATCACTTGATTTACTTTGAGGAAGCCTAATTTTACTCATTGCATCAATATCTAAAAAGGAAAATTCAGTTCTACAAGTGATTCTGATAAAAAAAAACTTACATTCTCCACGTCTTCTTGGCTCAAAATGTCACTGGTAAAACAGTGTACAGAAATCTCAAATGGTTTTAGCTTGTCGATTAAAGCTGGGGACAAGACTTCGATGAGTTTCACCTCCAGATCATTTTGAGCTTCCAGTGAAGGGGATATTCCGGTATCTGCATCGAAACGGACATACTGAACGGCATGAGAACACCCCCCTTCCACAAGGGCAGTAACAAACTCTCCAAACCAACCAACTGCAGGGGGCTTCCTGGTGATCTTGGTGAGCAGCAGGTTGACAGCAGCCTGGTTGCCTTTTTGCAGTTTCATGGCCCGGATCTCCTCCTTATCGGCCTCTTGCATGAACGTGATTAAGTCCAGCACTGGATCCACTTGGATGATCGCGACCAAGCGGCTGCGGAAACATTCGATCAGTAACAGGCGCTGCTGCTCTCGCTCCTGCTCACAACCGGTGGAGCTCATGGTGAACAGCTCTGCGACAGCGGAAAGCAACACTGAACGCTCGCTCCTCTCTTCTTCCTGTTTTAAGGCGATCAGTTTCGGTTTCGATTCTATAAAGTCACGCAGTGAAACCCAGCTGACATGGGAAAAGGGGACTTCCAGCCGCAGTATATGGAAGAAGATATACACTTAGCAATGTACAGTAGAAAGCCCAGTAAACAGTGAAGCAAAGTCTCGATTTCTGTTTCTGTTTACCAGATCAAAAAACCAAACGATCAGATTCCCTTTTACAAATAGATCATGTACTTTCTGATTAGCATAAAAACAAATCATTCCAGACTTCAAGGTTATGATGCACTCTGGATAATTTTGCCTCATTCTCGTGTACAAGATCCAGTGAATTGTATACATAAGAAAAATATATCAAAATAATTACATTTTATTGATGTTTAATTGATTAATCTGCCTTTAAGAATAATTCAATCTTATTTATAATGCATCAGAGATTGTAGGAACTGCAGATGCTGGAGAATCTGAGAATAACAAGGTGTAGAGCTGGATGAACACAGCAGGCCAAGCAGCATCAGAGGAGCAGGAAGGCTGACGTTTCAGGCTTAGACCCTTCTCTAGGCCCGAAACATCAGCCTTCCAGCTCCTCTGATGCTGTCTGGCCTGCTGTGTTCATCCACCTCTACAACTTGTTACCTCTTATTTATAATGCACTGTTTTTGATCAAACTATTGTCCTTTCCACTTTATTTACTGCTTTTCTTCTCTGATTTCTCCCCCCTCTCCCCTCCTCATTTTATTTTTCAAGGTGGTGACATTATAGAGGTTTATAAAATCATGAAGGGCATAGATAAGGTGAATAGCAAAGGTCTTTTCCCTGAGGTAGGGGAGTTCAAAAACTAGAGGGCATAATTTTAATGTGAGAGGAAAAAGATTTAAAAGAGACCAGAGGGGCAACTTTTTCCACACAAGGGGTGGTTTGTGTGTGGAACGAGCTGTCAGAGGAAGTGGTAGGTACACGTTAAGTTACCTTATTTAAAAGACATTTGGATAGGTACTTTAAAAGGAAAGGTTTAGAGGGAAATGGGCCAAACGTCGGCAAATGGGAGTAGTTTAGTTTGGGAAACTGATTGGCATAGACGAGTTAGGTGGAAGGATCTGTTTCCATGCTGTATGACTCTGTGACTCTAAATTTACAAGTTTGCTGATGACACCACCCATAGTTGGTCAGATCTTAAACAACAACAAAACAGAGTACAGGAAAGAGATAGAGAGCTTAGTGACAATAATCTGTCCCTCAATGTTCCTGGGAGTAAATGTCACCAACAATCTGCCCTGGTCCATCCACATCAATGCTACAGTCAAGAAAGCGCATCAACGCATCTACTTCCTCAGAAGGCTAACGAAATTCGCCATGTCCATGATGACTCTTAGCAACCTTTATAGATGCATCATAGAAAGCATCCTACCCAGTTGCATCACAGCTTGGTATGGCAATTGCTTTGCCCAAGACTGCAAGAACTTACAGAGAGTTGTGAACACAGCCCAGTCCATCACACAAACCAGCCTGAAGAAGGGTCTAGGCCCAAAATGTCAGCTTTGCTGCTCCTCTGATGCTGCTTGGCCTGCTGTGTTCATCCAGCTCTACACCTTGTTATCCCAGCCTTCCTTCCATTGACTCTGTCTATACAGCCCACTGCCTTGGGAAAGCAGCCAAATAGTCAAGGACCCCTCCTACACTAGCTATACTCTCTTCCACCTTCTTCCATCAGTCAGAAGATACAAAAGTTTAAAAACACGTGTCAGCAGACTCAAGAACAGCTTCTTCCCTGCTGTTATTAGACTTTTGAATGGATCTCCCATATACTAGAGTTGGTCTTTCTCTGCACCTGTTCAAGTCCATCCTCGGACATTGTGGGAGGCTAGGAAGAAATTGCAGAGGCCCTTGCAGAGATTTTTGCTTCATCTTTAGCCACTGGTGAAGTTCCAGAAAACTAGAGGGTGGCTAATGTTGCTCCATTATTTAAGAAAGGTAGCAAAAAAAGCCAGGGAACTACAGGCCAATGAGCCTGACATCAGTGGTAGGCAAGTTATTGGAGAGGATACTGGGGGTCAGGAGCAACCAACATTTGGATAGTCAAGATCTGATTAGGGATAGTCAGCATGGATTTGCATGCAGAAAGTCATGTCTGACAAATCTTTTAGAGTTTTTTGAAGAGGTAACCAAAAGGAATAATGAGGGTAGGGCAGTGGATGTTGTTGATATGGACTTTAGTAAGGCCTTTGACAAGGTCCCGCACAGCAGGCTAGTGATGAAGATTAGGTTGCATGGGATCCAGGGAGAGGTAGCTAATTGGATTCAAAATTGGCTCGATGGTAGGGAGCAGTAGGTGATGGTTGAATGGTTTTTCTTGGACTGGAGGCTTATGACTAGTGGTGTGTCACAGGGGTCGGTGCTGGGACCTCTGTTATTTGTTATTTACATAAATGATCTGGTTGTGAATGCACAAGGCATGATTAGTAAGTTTGTATATGATACAAAATTAGGATATAACATTGAGAGTGAGGAAGGTTATCAAAAATTACAGAGAGTTCTTTATCAGATGGGGAAGTGGGCTGAGGATTGGCAAATGCAATTCAATGCAGGTAAGTGTGAGGTGTTGCACTTTGGAAAGTCAAATCAAGGTGGGACTTGTACAGTAAATAGTATGTCCTGAGGAGTGTTGTGGAACAGAGGGACCTAGGAGTACAAGTACGTAGTTCATTGAAAGCAGCGTCACAGGTGGACAAGGTGGTGAAGAAGACATTTAACATGTTGGCCTTCATCAGTCAAGGCATTGAGTATAGGAGTTAGGGCGTTATGTTACAGTTGTATAAGTCATTGGTAAGGCTGCACTTGGGGTATTGTGTACAGTTTCAGTCACGCTGTGATAGGAAAGACACACGAAACTGAAAAATGTGCAAAGAAGATTTATGAGGAAGTTGCCAGGACTAGTAGGCCTGAGTTATAGAGAGAGTTTGGCTTGGAGAGGACTTTATTCCTTGGAAGGTAGGAGAATGAGGATTGACTTTATTGAGATGTATAAACACATGAGGGGCATAGATAGGATGAATACATATAGTCTTTTTCCCAGGGATGGGGAATTGAAAACTAGAGGGCATGGGTTTAAGGTGAGAGGGGAAAGATTTAAGAAGAATCTGAGGAACAACTTCTTCACGCAGAGAGTTGTGCATATGTGGAATGGCCTGCCAACGAAAGTGGTTGAGGCAGGTACATTAGCAACATTTAAAAAAACATCTGCATTGATATAATAATGGGAAGGGTTTAGAGGGATATGGACCAAATGCAGGCAATTGGAACTAGGTGAGTGGGCACCATGGTCAGCATGGACCAGTTTGGGCCAAAGGGCCTGTTTCCATGCTGTATTACTCTATGACTATGACGTAGCTGCAACACTACATCCAGGATTCTGGTCTGTTACCCTATTTGTAATTATGTAAGGTATGATTTGCCCGGATAGCATGCAAAACTTTTCGCTCTGTCTTGGTACATGAGACAATAGTAGTAAATCAAATCAAATAAAATAAAATCAAATTCTTATCATTTTTGTATTCATATGGCTCATGTGTGGCGTTACCACACATAACAGAAAAGGTGATGGCCTAGTGCTATTATCTCTAGACTATTAATCCACAGACCCAGGTAATGTTCTGTGAACCCATGTTCAAATCCTGCCACTGCAGATGGTGGAATTAAGAATCTACTGATGGCCATGAAATCATTGTTGATTGTCAGAAAAAACCGTCTGGTTTACTAATGCCCCCTTCAGGGAAAGAAATTTGCCATCGTCTCCTGGTCTGGCCGACATGGGATTCCAGACCAACAGCAATGTGGTTGACTTTTAATTGCCCTCTGAAGTGACCTAGCAAGCCATTCAGTGGTACCAATCGCTACAAAGTCTTGAAGAAATGAAACTGGATGGATCAGCTGGCATTGACCTAGGCACCGTAAAAGATGAACCAGAAACAGCCCTGTCGACCCTGCAAAGTCCTCCTCGCTAACATCTGGGGGCTAGTGCCAAAATTGGGAGAACTGTCTCACAGACTAGTTAAGCAACAGTCTGACATAGTCATACTTACAGAATCATACCTTACAAACAATTTCCAAGACACCACCATCTCCATCCCTGGATATGTCCTGTCCCACCGGCAGGACAGACCCAACAGAGGGGGCAGCACAGTGGTATACAGTCAGGAGGGTGTTGCTCTGGGAGTCCTCAGCACTGACTCCGGACCCAATGAAGTCTCATAGCTTCAGTTTAAACATACGTAAAGAAACCTCCTGCTGATTAAAATGTACCGTCCTCCCTCAGCTGATGAATCAGGACACCTCCATGTTGAACAACACTTACAGGAAGCACTGAGGATGGCAAGGGCACCAAATGTCTTCTGGTTGGGGGATTGCAATGTCCTACGCCAAGCGTGGCTTGGCAGTGGTACTACTGATCGAGTTGGTTGGGTCCTAAAGGACATAGCTGCCAGACTGGGTCTGCAGCAGGTGGTGAGGGAGCCAACAAGAGGGCAAAAACATGCTTGACCTCGTCCTTACCAACCTACTACCTGCAGATGTATCTTTCCATGACAGTGTTGGTAAGAACAACCACCACACAGTCCTTATGGAGATGAAGCCCCGCCTTCACATTGAAAGTAACCCCCATCATGTTATGTGGCACTATCACTGTGCTAAATGGAACACACTTTGAACAGATCTAGCAACTTAAGACTAGGCATCCATGAGGCACTGTGGGCCATCAACAGCAGCAGAATTGTACTCCAGCACAATCTGTAACCTCATAGCCCGGCATATCCCCCACTCAACCATTACCATCAAGACAGGGGGTTAACACTGGTTCAATGGAGAGTGCAGAAGGACATGCCAGGAGCAGCACCAGGCATACATGAAAATGATGTGTTATCCTGGTGAAGCCACCAAACAGGGCTCCTTGTGTGCCAAGCAGCATAAGCAGCAAGTGATAGACAGATCCCACACCAATGGATCAGA